CTTCCTTCTCATTAAATGGCCAAAGTATTTCAGTTTTATCTTCAGGATCTGGCCTTCTAAAGAGCAGTAAGGGTTGATCTCCTTTAGGACTGACTGGTTTGATCACCTTGCAGTCCAAAGGGCTCACAGGAGTCTTCTCCAGCACCATAGTTCAAAGGTCTCAATTCTTTGATGGTCAGCCTTTCTTATGGTCCAACTTTCACAACCATACATTATAACTGGGAAAACCATAGTCTTGACTTTTGTTGGCAGGGTGATGTCTCTGCTTTTTAGTATGCTGTCTAACTTTGCCATAGCTTTCCTCCCCAGGAGCATCTTTTAATTATTTGGCTGTAGTCCCCATCTTGGAGCCCAGGAAAATAAAATCTGTCACTACCTATATTAACATAAGCTAAATCTATTTTAGATTTTTTTTTAATTTCACTTGTAGCAAAACATAAACTACAATTTTACATTTCTCCAATTTTTACAGAATATAATAACATACAGTAGTATACAAACACACTCACAGACACACAACTTTTATTGTATGTGTTATCCTGGGGCAGAATGAGACCAGAAAAACAAAAATTGACAAATTTGTTCTATTACTTACTAATAATCTCTATTATAAGGGATTTGACAAAGTAGACCAGAACCTATTTCTTGGTAAACTAGAAAAATGTGGGATAGACAGCATCACCACCAGATGGATTTGTAACTGGCTGACAAACTGTACTTAACAAGTAGTCCTTAATGGTACTACATCTACATGGAGGAAAATAAGGTTCAATCTTATTCCCAGTATTCTTCAATATCTTCATAAATGACTTATATGAGGGGAATAGAAGGAGAACTCATCAAATTTGCAGACGACAGGAATAGCCAACACCCCAGAAGACAAACTCAGGATCCAAAGAGATCTTGACAGACTTGAACAATGGGCCCTATCCCACAACGTGTGGCAGCAGCCAAAAATGCTAATACAATTCTTGGTTGGATAAACAGATGCATAGAATCAAAATCACATGAAGTATTACTACCACTTTATAAAAGTGAAGAGCCTTGGTAGTACAGGGGTTTAAGGCACCCTGTTATTAAGCTTATTAAGACCAGCTGCCTGCAATTACTGCAGGGTTCGAATCTCGCCAAGGCTCAAGGTTGACTCAGCCTTCCATCCTTTCTAAGGTAGGTGAAATGAGGACCCAGTTTGTGGGGGCAATAAGCTGACTTTGTATAAATATACAAAAGGATGAAGGCTATTGCTGTGCACATTGTAAGCCGCCCTGAGTCTTCGGAGAAGGGCGGCATATAAATCAAATTAAAAAACAAAACAAAACAAAAAAAACCTTAGTAAGACCACACCTGGAATACTGCATCCAGTTTTGGTCACACCACACCACAAAAAAGATGTTGAGACTTTGGATAAAGTACAGAGAAGAGCAACTAAGATGATTAAATGACTAGAGCCTAAAACATTGCAGGATTTGGGTTTGGCTAATATACAGAAAAGGGTGACATGATAGCAGTATTCCAGTATTTGAGGGGCTGCCACAAATAACAAGGGATCAACTTATTTTCCAAAGCACCAGAGGGTAGAATAAGAAATAATGGATGGAAACTAATCAAGGAGAGAAACAATCTTGAAATTAAGGAGAAACTTCCTAACAATGAGAACAATGAACAGTGAGAACAACAAACCTGAACAAGTGAAACAGATTGCCTTCAGAAATTGTGGGCACTGCATCACTGGAGGTTTTACAGAAGAGACTGGACAGCCACTTGTGTGAAATGGTATAGGATCTCCTGTTTGAGCAGGTGATTGGACTAGAAGACCTCCAAGGTTCATTCCAGCTATTCTGTTCTCTTCTCTTCCCAAATGATAATCAGCTGTTTTCTCTTATTTCTCCAAAATTCTACCCAGATTGCAGACTATTCCCCCCACCAATTAAATATCCCAATAATGTAAACTATTGCCATTTTGGTGATTCAGCATTAGATTGATTAGCTACCAACTTAAGATATTATTGCCTGCATTTGATGAAAAAGAGTTTAAATTAATGTCTTCTATGCTTATAGCTTTCATTTTAAAATATTTTTCTATAATAAATCAAAATAGATATCTACTACTGAATCCTGACTCATACAATTACTTTTTGTTCTTAAACTTATAGGGTGCAGAAAGAAAAGCATTGTCTTTTAAATATTACTGCATCTATTAAAAGATAAGTAAAAAAACAATCTAAAGTCTAAAAAGAAAGCTTAATGTCTGACGCATTAAAAATATCATAATTCCATTTCTGAGTCTCCAAAGATAGAGCTAGACATTTTGTTCTATATCTTCTTTGCTAGTAAAAGGTAAAGGTAAAGATTCCCCTTGCACATATGTGCTAGTCGTTCCCGAATCTAGGGGACAGTGCTCATCTCCGTTTCAAAGCCAAAGAGCCAGCACTGTCCGAAGATGTCTCCGTGGTCATGTGGCTGGCATGACTAAATGCCAAAGGCACATGGAACACTGTTACTTTCCCACCAAAGGTGGTCCCTATTTTTCTACTTGCATTTTTTACATGCTTTCGAACTGCTAGGTTGGCAGAAGCTGGGACAAGTAACGGGAGCTCACCTCGTTACGCGGCACTAGGGATTTGAACCGCTTCTTTGCTACACACCCATAAAATCAACTTGAAAAGAATGTGCAATGTCTTGTATATTGTCAACAGGAAATTAAATTATGTCATTCCATAGATTAAAGGATTAAAAGTGAGACAAGAAGAGTACAAGACCCAGGCTTTTGCTGATGATCTAGTACTTATAGCAGAAGAACCCCTAGAAACAATACCAAAACTCCTTAAAAAAATAGAAGACTACGGAGAGGTGGCTGGGTTAAAGATAAATAGAAATAAATCCAAATTACTAGTTAAAAATTTGACAAAAACTCAGGAGACAGAGCTGGAAAAAAACGTACAAATTCAAGTGACTAATAAAATTAAATATCTAGGTATATGGCTGTCACCAAGAACATCTTCCATAAAAGAAAATAATTATGATAAACTAATAACACAGTTAAAAAAAGACTTGGATAATTGGAAAGGTTTGCAAATTTCATTTATGGAAAGAATCTCCACTATCAAAATGAATGTATTACCAAAACTGTTGTATTTATTTCAGGTGGCTCCAATTAATTTAGGCAAAAATTTCTTTGTGGGCTTAAACAAGATTATTTTCAAATTCATTTGGCAGGGAAAACGACCACGAATAAAATTAAAACTACTCCAAGATTCCAAGGAAAGAGGAGGAACAGCACTCCCGGATTGGGAACTTTACCACCAAGCAGCAGGACTAGTATGGATTAAAGAATGGATGGAACTGAGTAATAACAGAATACTATCCATTGAAGGTCACGATCTGCAAGCGGGCTGGCATTCCTTTTTATGGGATGAAAAATATAAGTCCCACACCTACTTTAAAAGGCATATACTTAGACATGCGTTATTATTAATTTGGTTAAAAACTAAAAAACAACAATACACAAAAATCCCGTTATGGTTCTCACCCTCAGAAGCCTTAAAACACCCAAATTTATCAGAATCCAAAAATATAATGAGATACAAAGAATTAATTGATCACCAAGGAAAGTTAAAATCCAAACAGCAACTGGAAGCAGAGTTAAATAAGGAAATTGATTGGTGGACCTTTTCACAGATACAATCCGAACACAAAGAATATATAAAAAAGTATCAAATATGTAAGGAGAAACAGGAATTAGATATCATCATATTAGACTCTGGAGAAAAACTAATCAGTAAAATTTACAAACTTCTGTTAAGGTATAAGATGGAGGAGGAAATAATCAAACACACAATGATTAAATGGATGCAGAATTTCAAATACTCAATAGAATTGGATAAATGGGAAGAATTCTGGCAAATGAATACAAAAGCAACTCTGGCGGTGGCATACAAGGAAAACCAGCTAAAGATGTTTTATAGGTGGCACATGTCACCAACAAGATTGGCTAAAATAAACCGAAAAACAGTTCATCATGTTGGAAATGCAAGAATCCACAAGGCACTTTCTATCACCTATGGTGGACATGCCCAGTGGCAAAGAAATTCTGGTCCATCATCAAGAAATGGTTAGAACAAATTACTAAATTACAAATAGATAAGAAACCCAAAACTTTTTTATTAGGAATCTTTACAAAGTCTTACCCCAAAGAAATAAAATATCTGCTAATACATATCTTAACGGCGGCAAGGCCCATAAAATCAACTTGAAAAGAATGTGCAATGTCTTGTATATTGTCAACAGGAAATTAAATTATGTCATTCCAAAAATGCTAGAGAGCAATGTTATTTCACATATTATCTTGAACAAAACATTTGACTAGGAAAACAAAAAGCAATATAACCCCTTATTTCTGGTGAATCCTTGATATATCCATTTTCTTGTCTTTTTAATGTGTATCACTACCAAAGTGATAAGCCAGAAGTTCTGTTTCGATTTCCTTACAGGGTCATCAAAATGATACATGTCACCTCATTTCAGAAAATCCAGGTCACATAAAGAAAACCCCACAGTGAATGTCCTACCAGTATGTATGCCAATGTTACTTCAGTACTCCAGAGAATCAATAAAATTATGCGAAGGAGCCTATTACAAAGCCTTCTTCCACACAGGGAAGAATTTCTGAAACAATGTAAAACCAATACTTATCGTACGAGTTCATACAAAACAAAAATTCCAAGCACCAAACAACCTGATACTTAATTTAGGCTTTCTGAGCAGGTATAAAACTTATAAAAGCGGTTGCTTCAGCTGAATACTGACCATGCTGTAGTAATTTCAGATTGTGACTTATTTTCTCTAAAATGTTTTTGTAGGGGATTTAATCATATATTAATCAATGCTACTATCTGCTTTTGTTGGTTATTCTTGATCATTCTATCCAGCACGCAATTGCAGATCAGGAAATTTTCTGAGTACTTATTATTCAATTTGTATTTCTAATGTATGTTTCTTACCGGGGTTGGTATTTTTTCTTCCCTGTCAGCTTCTCCACCAGAAAAGGATGGAATTGCAGGTATGGGAGGTGCTCGCCGTTTTTTCATTTCAATACTTGAAGTTGTCCCTCGTATATTCCCAAGAGATAATGATGGTGCCACCATTTCAGAACATACATTTCGTGAAGAATCCACTATCATTGTTTCCTGGAATCAGATGAACAAACCACCATCCAAATGTATTAATGTGACATTTCAAAGCCATTTATTATAAATTTACCTGAAACAATAACAAAATGCTGCCTGATATTTCACCCTATTTATGTTGGCCCTCCAGAAGTCATTCAAACCATGGTTTTTGCCAACTGTCTGACAATTTTATGACATACAGTAGTGCCCAAAATTGTGGAAACCTTTTGGGAAAAGTGATTTTCTAAAACTAGCTAATAACACCACTTTTTTTTTTTGCAGTAGTAGCATAAAATTATATATCAATGGAAAGATAATTTAATCAAGAATGTAATGCAATAACTTTTATGAAGTTACGTTAGCTATTACAGTTACGTTACAGTATACAGAAGAAAAACAAAACACATAGAAAAAAATGAGATATACAAAAACTATCAAGTCAGTTAATACTTAGTTGGGTAACCTTAGCATGAATTGCGGCCTTACAACGACTTCCCATGTAGTGAATCAAGTCTTTTAGTTCTGCAGCTGTTATAATGTGAAACCAAGATTGAATGACTGCATCTATTAACTGGGTTTTATTGCTGGGTCACTCAACTGAAAGCTCCGTAAGTTTTCAATTGGGTTAAAGTCTGGGCTATTCCCAGGCCATTCCAGTAGTGGAATATGATTATGTTGAAACGCCAAAAAAAAAAAGTGGTATTATTAGCCATCAAACCTCAAAAATACACTTTTCCCAAAAGGTTTCCACAATTTTGGCCACTACTGTAGTGCCCTTCTAGATGGTTACATGGTGACTGATTAAATGCACTTTCTGTGTATTTTTCCACCATTCTGTTTCATCTTTTTAATGTATTTTGGTTACTTTTTAATTGGTTTTTATCAATATGAATTGTTTTATTTTATATACCATCCAGAGTAACTACATGAGATGGGTGACTACATAAATTTGATCAATCAATCAGTCAAATTACTTTCTCTTATTTCTAACTAATAATCACAATTATATTAATTTAAAAATAAAGGAAATACAAATAACTTGATGCTATTAAAATGAGAGAGTGTAAATGAAGAGGAAGGATGAACCTGAGTTAAGCTGCCAGATATGCCAGCAAAGTTGGTCAGGCAGCAACAGCAGCATTCCGTTGCAGAACTGCTGATCCTCTCTTTCCAACAGCAGAATTAAGACCAGAGTTGTTCTTCACTAAGTCATATGCTATATGAATGCTTACTACCACTAGCATTTCATCAGTGATATCCATGCATTACCCCATCTAGTAAAGCTTCATAATAGCAGAGACTGGAGCAGTGTTTGTCATTATACTAATTAGCATGAAACAAATCAATTTTAAAGAAACAACAGCAAGTGCAAGACAAACACACACAAAAACATCCTTCAACTACACTTTACAGAAGACCCTGAAACTTTCAAAACAACACCACCATTAAACTATCTTGGAGAATGAAAGAAAACTGCTTGATCTGTACCAGGAGTGAAGCATAGCATATGTTTTGCTTCAGCCTTAGAACAATACCAACAGCCTAATTTGTACTGAACATCCCTTTCCACTTTTTCTGTTGGCCAATGTACATGCCGTTTTGTTTTGTCTTTCAACCTGACATGGTAATATAATTAATACAGAATTCAATTTCACTGGTAAGAGTAGAATCGTTTACCCCCAAAGGATTTTTCAACAAATAGATAGACTACAATTAATCCTTTAATATTATAATAGCACTATCTAATGGCTAAATTAGGACTTACATCAAGGCTTCGTTTACGATACAACATGGATTTTAAAAATTCTCCACTACCCAGATCTAGGCTTCTTCTTGAGGCTTTTTCGGCCTGAAACTTAAATAAAAATCCTACATTATATATATTTTTATTAAATATATTACACACTTAACTATGAACAAACTCAGTAGAAAGGCCTGTAAAAGCAATGTACAATTAACCAGATTCAACTGCTGCTTGGTCATTATTTGGCAAACTGATACATAGATCCTGATAAGGAATTTGTCTGAACATGGGATAGAGAGGAATACAACAGATTTTGCATTCTTTGAATTATATTTTTTTTCCTTAGGAGCAATTAGAAAATGGAAAATTACACATTCATCAAAGTTGTAGCTTTGACTGGAGAAAATCTATAGTATTATTACATAAAAAGTATATGTCAATTTTAATGCACAGAAAGATGAATACATTTGCCTTGTCCAACTCTACAGAATACAAGAAAAGATACACAGAATTCCCACTCCAAACAAGCATGTTTGTAGGAGTCAGAAGCCAGTCCTGGAATGATTCTCTGTCTCTGGTGAGGAACAGAGTCATCATCCTTGCCTCTCCTGTGTTTCAGTTAGAAAAGAACTGACAGATTTATATTAGGAAGCTTATCTCTAAGAAAAATAAACCTCAATCAGCAGTAATACAGAGGACAAAGCAAAATGAGGACCCACGTTGTGGGGGCAATAAGCTGACTTTGTATAAAATATACAAAAGTATGAAGGCTATTGCTTAACGCATTGTAAGCTGCCCTGAGTCTCTGGAGAAGGGCGGCATATAAATCAAATCAAATTAAAAAAAAAAGATGCTCTCAAGTCAAGTCAAAGCCTTTATTGTCATTGTACATCATGTATACAACAAAATTGGTTAATTTTCTCTCCTACTATGGTACTGTTCCTCTCTGTACCTTTCAAAAGTTGTGCTCCAGTGATGGAACACAACTTTAAAAAAGACTGGCCAACCATCTGGAATGGTATAGGATCTCCTGCTTGAGCAGGGGGTGGGACTAGAAGACTTCCATGGTGCCTTCTAACTCTGTTAGAATATTTTTTTAAAGGCATACTACAATTAAATATTTTATACCAGAAATATGAGTATACTTTACACAACATAATATTATATGTTTCTAATACTTTATATCTACAATTGTATATATATTTTTGAAACACTGTTCTTAACATTTAATTGTCTGAGAATTTCTATTGCTAAGCAAGACAGTTATTAAGTATGTTTGGTCCCATTTTATTACCTTTGTTGACACAATTGTTTAAATAAATTATCTTAGTTGTTAAGTTAATAACATAATTTAACAACCATTTAACATTATTTTTAAATGAATCTGGCTTCCTATTGACTTCGTTTGTCAGAAAGTCACAAAAAGTGACCACATGACCCCAGGACACTGCCACTGTTATAAGTGTGAGCCAGATGCCAAGTGTTCAAGTGACCATGGGGATGCTGTAATAGTCATGTGAAAAATGGTCATAAATCACTTTTTTCCATTGCCATTGTAACTTTGAATGGTCACTAAATGAATGGTTGTAAGTCAAGGACTAACTGTTCTGTGTATGATCTGCACATATATACCTGACCTGCATAATATACATTATATGCACAATGCTTAGGAAATAACTAATAGTTTAACAAATGTTCTTAAAATCACATCTACATTTCTCAAAACGAAAGCATAGACTTTCATTTTATATAGTTCTTTGGAGGGATAGCAGCTTATGCTTTGTTTTTTCATTTGCCACTGAGACTTTATCTTTACAAGTTAGTTAAAAGCCATGAAAAGAAGTAGATGAAAGATATATTAGTTTTAGTGGAAAATATAAAGTAGTATTAGGAATAAGAAGATTGACTGCCCTATTTTTGAAAATCAGGAGATGTTATTTTACTTAACGTGAGAATGTTCAAGAGGGGTTTAGATTATTTACTGTTGAATATGTAGTACAGGAGCTGAAACATGAACTTACGACTGTCCTATAGCTGCCATACTTTGATTTGATATTCATAGGATCATTTGCCAAAAATACTTTGATTTTTTTTTTAATCTAATGTCCCAGTAAATTCAATTTATTAGGCACAGTAAAAATAGATATGGCTCTATCAAGCAATAGTAATAACATTTAGACTTATATACCACTCCACAGTGCTTTACAGTACTCTCTGGTTTACAATGTCAGAATGTTGCCCCCAGCAATCCAGGCCTCATTTTACCGACTTCAGATGATGGAAGGCTGGGTCAACCTTAAATTGCATCAGGATCAAACTCCAGGCTGCATGCAGAGTTTGCCTGCAATACTGCATTCCAACCACTGCACCACCATGGCATGAGGAATAGCTGTGGGACAGCTGAAAGAATGACTATAAACCAATGAATCTATACCTATCTGCAGTGTTGGATTGTGGGCTACAATTGTGAGTTATTAATATATGTGCTTGGTCAATATTTAATTGTGACAAAGATGCAATAAGAGTCATTTTAGTAACACCCTAAATATAAGCTACAAGAAAAAATATACACAGATAAGTAGAAATCACTAGCTGAATAAAAAAATATAGCATTTACCTTGTTTTTCTTACTTGTCCTAAAAAATCCCAAAAATCCTTTCTTTTCCTTTACTGATGTGTCACCACCAGTTGATGTCTTTGTTTCTGTTAAATGCACAAGTCACAATGACTACTCCAATCCAGCTCAAATAACATTTTGATAGTATAGCTTATCTATTTGAAAATTGAAATCAGAAACCTCTACTGCATAGAGGACATAAATAAAAAAAAAAGGTTATTATTCTAATGAGTTACTCATGAGAGAAAAAAAGTCATATGGCATTCACTCAAGTTACTTATTTTAGATTTCAACCCAAGTTTTATTTATCTATATTAAAACTTTTTCTCTTTGTATCTGTCTGTAGCAGTAGTGAAATGTAAAATTTGTTACTACCTGTTCTGTGGGCGTGGCTTGGTGTGTGTGTGGGGGGGGGTAATATGACTGAGTGGGCGTGGCCATTTTTTTTTAACTTTTAAAACCATTTTTTCTACAACCTCTTCAGCTGAAGAGGTTGTAAAAAAATGCTTTTAAAGCCTCTGACGATCCCAGCTGACTTGCCTGATCGGCAGAGGCTTTCTTTTTTTAAAAAAAACATTTTTTCTATAACCTCTTCAGCTGAAGAGGTTGTAGAAAAAATGCTTTTAAAAGCCTCTGATGATCCCAGCTGAGCCATGCGATCATCAGAGGCTTTTTTTTTTTTACTTTTAAAACCATTTTTTCGGCCAAAGAGGTCGTAGAAAAAATGGTTTTAAAAATAAAAAAAAAGCCTCTGATGATTGCACGGCTCAGCTGGGCAATTGGGGGGGGGCAGGGATTTTTGCTACTGGTTCTCCAAACAACCCGCTTCCATCGCTACCGGATCAGGCGATCCAGTTTGAACCGGGAGCATTTCACTTCTGGTCTGTAGGTATAGATTCTTAGATTCCTATCAGACTCTTTTAAACATGAGATAACGAATACAATTTTATTTACAATAAAAAAACAAATACCAATGTTTAAAGCACTGTTAAACTAATGAAAGCTCATCCTGTTCATTCTGTTTCTTATGATCTTTTGTTACATTTTCAATCAGTCACACAATGGTTGGCTACTCTGAGCACGATGGTTTGCATCTGAATGGAACAGAATTGTGTGAAATTCTAACTGGATAATTATGCAGTATACTGCTGATATTTTTTAAACACAAGCAGTATAACAAATTTTAAGTTACGAAATAGGACAACAGGACAGTTTTTCACCAAATTACCACTTGGCAATTTTGTATAGACAATTTTTATCATTCCTTCTATTATTGCTTCTCTACTATCAATTGCCCATTCTTCTTTTAGCTTGCCTAGTCATAACTTGTCTAATATATCCCTCCCTATTTTGTATACAAATAATAATAATACATACTATTTTCTGGAATCTGCATCCTTTTACACAAAAAAAATTAGCTAGTATCTGCGAACAGATAGCAATAGATAATTTATATTGTCTGTAGTTGACATATTCTATGAAAAATTCACAAATGGGGTGTTTCAGGCTAAAATACTATATTGGATGGATGGATAGATGGATGGATGGATGGATGGAGAGAGACAGATTAGAGTGTTGAAATATATTCAGTAATAAATGAAGGTGTGAAAAATCAGTGTTACAATTAACCAAAAAGCCTGACATCAGATTAGTACATTGCCAAAAAAAAAAAAATGATTTCACAATAAATTAAAGGTTTTGTTTGATAATACATATCAATTGCTTGGATTCTCACTAATGTCTTTCCTGGGTTTTCTACAATAAGCCAACATATTTGAGGATTTGTGTCCTTGAAAGCCAATTCTTGCAGTTTCTTGCCTAACTAGTCAAGACAGTTGACACTTCTTTAACCTTTAAAGAAGTTAATGCACCTATTTCATTCCTTAAAGCTCCCCATAAAGAGGATTCCTAAAGCTCCCGTAAAGACCAAAATATTTGTCTCCACTATTTCCACAAGTGACTTGGATCCAACAGAGTGCTAGGAGGGAAAGGTAACTCACAGCTGTGGATTGCCCATTTTATATAGTTAATAGAAGCTTTAGTATTAAAGGCTTAAAATAACTATGATACAGTAATTGTGATGCATCAATTAATGTTACAATAGAGCCACTTTGGTGTGGTGGTTAAGGCATTAGGCTAAAACAATGGGAGACTGTAAATTCTATTCCTGCCTTCAGGTGACTTTGGGCCAGTCACTTTCTCCTGCCCCTAGGAAAGAAGCAATGGAAAAACCACTTCTGAAAAACCTTGCCAAGAAAACTGCAAGGACAAGTCCAAACAGGCTCCAAGAATCAGACACAACTGAATGGAAGGAAATGTTTACAAAGGTTGATAATAAAAGTAAAACAAATGCAAAGTATGCACAAGCAATAGTTGAAATTCATTCAAAGAATTACAAATAATCCAAACCCTTGTTTACAATAATTCAACTAGAGATAATTATGTTCTATGGTTATATGGTTATGAATACTATTAAATTTGCCATTAGTTACCATGCATGTTACAGATTAAACTGACACCCATAGTTTACTGTCACGCTAATAAAACTTTTTTTTGTTCTTTTCAAAACAAAAAGTTTTCTATTGTTTGCTAAAAGGCATTTTGATTCTGGAGATAACAGTAAATATAAAAATATTAATATCAAAACATACAAAAGCAAAACCTAAAAGGCAAATTTCTCTCCAAATGCATTTTACAGTACCTCTATAGTTCATAGTAGGTTCAGAGTGAGTTTTTGCTGGAACAGCTGCAACAACAGGAAAGTAACACTATGAAACTATGCAATATATTGATTTATTTACTTATACAAGATTTTTATATATTGGCTCTTTTCTAAGGTTTACCATAAAAATACTACCACTAGCAGCCAAAAAAGTAAAAACAGTCTTTCTATAATCAATGCCTAATCATAATGAGTAATAATAAGAACTGAAGCATCTTAGACAAGACCAGATGGTTGGGCTATCCCATATCTTAGGAGACACCTCTTCCAGAGTATGGGGGCAACTTCAAAGTAGATATATTGTCAGACTCCTGCCTCTTTGTGAGGTGAAAGCTTTAAGCATTCCCTCCTTCAACAACAATACAAGATGGGCCAGATCTTATTGAGAAAGCCTTATTGCATAAAATAAGAACAGGCTCCTTTCTTGTAACTATGCCTTTACACCATTAATTAATGATTCAGTTGAATGAGTACTATAAAGCACATTTGAGCTGAGTTTTTGGGAGAAAAAAAATTTCCACTGAGTTTACTCCATTTTATTTTTTGAGTGGTCGAGTTCCAGCTTCCAGCTACTGGACTTCTTACCCTATCCCCAACACTTCTGTACTTATAGAGGACGTAGGAACATTATCAATCATAGATCCAAATAACTACTTCAGAAGTTAAATGCTTAAATGGCAAATGAAGGGCAGAAAAGGATCCAAGTTGTGTTGGGATTCCAACAAATGTCATAAAGGTTAACAGAGATTGATCAGTACCAGCCCCAACAATATATTGTCTTATATAGCCCTATTGTTTTATATAAAGGGTTTTATATATATATATTTGTCATTGATTTTAAATACTTTGTGGAATAAACTGAAGACATTTGTATAGATAAATTCTTGTTGCTGCTCCTATTAATGTAGCTTATTCAATTTGTTCAGTGATTGAGTATGGCATATCAATTCAATTCAACTCAATTCAAATGCTTACGAAGTAATTTCACCTTGAAAATAGTTAATAAGCTTTTGATGGGTGCTCCGTGTCTTAATGATGAAACTGTTATGTCACTGGAAGCAACAAGAAGTTTTTGTTTCTCCCTATATTTTACGACAGATTATTGAGGGATTGTTAATTATCATAAAACTAGTTCAATTTTTTACCAGATCAGATATTCATAAGTGAAAAAATAGCTAAGATTAACAGTGAACAAGTTGCAATTATGTAAATGCCTTGGCATTTTTTCCAGATTCTTGAATATAAAAAAAAATCAAATTTGATACAATATGGAAAAGTTGAAAGAAGTGCCAATGAAGTAAAACTCTGTAAGATCCTGGCAGATATTATGTTGCAGCAGCAATTAAAACTTTCAAAGCAAAACCACTGCTCATTTGGTATATGATTTTTAAGTTTGTATTTATTTTACATATAGTTTTAATATTAGAAACATGCCTGTTAGTGGAAATATAAACCTGGCTCACTTCTTTTCTTTCTTTTTTTATACTTTATTTATTTTTTTCATCAGGATTAATTCTAATATTTTTGGATACCACTGACTTAAATGGAAAAAAGATCTTATATGAAATTTAAGAATAGTAGGATATAAACTGGTCTTATTTCAATGGGATATGAAAAGTAAATTGTGTAATTGAAAAATATTTTTGAAATATGTGATATGGACAGATGCCTAGTTTACAAACATCCAGATTTAAGAAGTCCTATAATCAAAAAGCATCCAGCTAATTATTTAACTAATATAGCAAAGCTAAAGCATTTATAATGGCTTGTATCAATGTGCTTTGCTCAACTGTACTAGAGAGTTGTTATAAAAAGACCACTTTCATTACAGCCTTCCTGCATGCAGCAGAAAAAAAGCAGCTGATCACTTAGTTTTGTATTGCTTCTTTTATCATTTCTTTTAAGAGCTAACCAGGTAATTGCAATAAGGCTTTTTATCTATTTCCTTTATTCTTTAAAAATATATGATTAAAATATAATGAGAAACAAAACTGAGCAAGATTCACCATGGACAAGCAGCGACTCGATCTTGTTGAGATTTAATTTCATTTCATTCAGATCCACCAGGCCAGGACTCCAACAGCATCCCTATTCTAACCCAGGCTAGAGGGTTAGAATCCCTCTAGCCTGGGGAAACCTGAGTCCAGGTTTTCTGGATTAGTCACTGACCATAATAAAAATTCTGTTATATTATATACAATTGGATGTCATTAGCATACTGAGGATACTGCATCCTGAACCAAGAGATGATCTGCCCCAGCAACTTCATGTTGTTTTTAAATAACATGGAGACGAGATCAAGAGTGTATGAAACAGCATCGTTCATTCATTCAATTTGTATACTGCCCATCTCACTATCAAGCAACTCTAGGCAGCTTCCAATACCATACATATACAACAATTACAGGATTAAAACATAAAAACATAGGGCATTAAAAGTTAAAATGTTAAAATTAATATTAAAGTGGATAAAAAGAACCAATGTATAGAAAGACTGAAAGGAAATTCTACTGATCTACCAGCCACCTCCAAAATGGACATCCGGGGTGGAATTCAGCCGGTTCTATCCGGTTCGGGTGAATTGATAGAGACTACTGCGGAATGCCCCGTTCATCTGTCCAAAAGATGGCACATGTGAGCGGAGCGCGCGTGCGCACATTTGCGAACCGGTAGGGAAGTAAGTGAATACTACCCCTGGATCACCCCCATTTATAAGCATTAATATATACAGAATATATACAGTAGTTTCCTATGATAATTTAACATAGATTGTGTTTTACCTTTTTTATTGTTCCAGGCATAAAGCTCCTTTATCCCTAGGTCATTCAATGACTTTGTCAATTCCAGTTTTTCTCCAGTGAAAGTATCTCTTAAGAGAACAATGCTTTCCTGACTAACTTCACACTTTTCGCAAATGATTGGGATTATACTCTGAAGAGGAACTTCAGGACTCACTCGAACTACTGTCTTTTGTGTCTTCAGATAATTTACTACAAGCCTCACCGTTTTCTAGGGAAAAGCAATTAAAAAACAACCAAGATGTCCAAGCACAATACTTCATCAATATAATTCAAACAGAATTAAAATAGATCATTTAAACTGGATGAGAAAACTAAAATATAAATGTGCACTGTAGCTTCATTTCATTTTAACACTATAACATTCTGCATAAATATATGCATAAACAGAAATCATAAGTGCAATAATCATATATAACACTGAAAAAAATAATGAAGAGAAAGATAATTGAGGAGAAATCACATTTACTAAAAAAATAGATTTAGTTGTCTTAGAAAACAAGGATGCACACTATAAGGTCCCTGATTCCCTGAATCTTTCCTCATAAATTAGTTCCAAAACCTGCAAATGAGAACCATGGATAATTTATTTGGCCAGAGAGGGTGTACAAGTGGCTGAGAAGAGTATGTGTTAGTGGAGAGGCACGGGCAACTACATTAAGGCTTAGGGAGGATGCACGAATATGCATGGGATGTGACACATGGCATAAGCACACTGAAGCTTGAGAAGGGTGCGCAGGTGGTTGGGAAGCACCTAAAAAGTTTGATGAGGTTTGAAGAGCTACATGAGTAAGTCATGGTGTGAGAACAGCAAACTCAGAGAGGGAGAGAATGCATGGGTGCTGGGAGAGGCATGGACAAGTGCAGTGAGGCTCAAAGGGGTATGCAAGGGTGGACAGGTGGCCAGTGAAGAGCAGCATTGAGTGAGCCTAAGGGAAGGTGCACAGAAGGTAATTGATTGGTTTTGCTTGTGGAAAGCCAGCAGGGAAGGTTGCAAATCAACACCATGGGATACTGCAATTGTCCTAAGTGTAAGCCAGTTGTCAAGCACTCAGATTATGATCATGTGTCTGTGAAGATGCTGAGGCAGCCAGAATTTTGAAAACTCGTAACCACCACTCATTCAATGCCATCGTAACTTGAACTGTTATTGGATAGGTGATTGTTAACTGAGAACTACCTGTATATCTGTTATACTACACATTTTGCATGATCCATTCCTGAAATGAGTTTCCCTCACTTTTAAGTCAGACCTAGATCTCCAAGCCATAAGTTTTTTGTATGCTTGTTAGTTAATTCATACACTCACTTTTTATTTTGATAAATTTTCATATACTGCTTATTTAAAAACATCAAATTATATAAGATGTCAATTTATTAAACTGAATGCAATTCATAAAGCAACCACACATTTTTTCAGATTTGACAGCCTATTCAAAAGAACCTCCAACTGTAAATTTAATCAGAACAGTGGAATCACTAGATCCTTGTGAATTTGGCCAATAATGCCTATCCTTGTGATACTTGATGGATTAAAAGATTGTATCAGCAGTACTAAAATAATCCAGCACAGTGAGATGACTATCCCCTTCTCTATTCCTGGCCATAATGCAAGAAAATACATCATAAGAAAATGCTTTTACCTCTGGGGTTCTAGGTGGAGGCCGTTTGATTTTTTTTTCTTCAGGAACCTTGAATTTTAGAAGTACCTTCTGTACGTCTAATGTCCCTATCAAAGTATTTGGCTTGTAACTCAAAGATTGTTGGGTCTCCCCAGACTTCAATTCAAAAGTATAATGGGCTGGGTTTAAATGGTACTGGCTGCACAAGTCTACAAAGAGATCCATCACAGGTTTGCTGGGGGGAAAAATGCTGAAGGTTATTCATGAAAAGGCCAATTATAAACTAGGATTAACTGTAGGCTTTTCTTGAAGATTTTACAATAGATACCTATACAAGATACATCACAACAAAAAATATCAAGTCATTATTTTGAAAAGCCTTAAAAGAAAATATAAATGTCCAAAATCTTTTATATATCTGCATTTTTATAGAGGGGTGGTCAATTAATTTTCCCAAGAGCACATGAGAAATGGGGACTGTAGTGGAGGGCCTAATCAATACGAAATATTTTATTAAATATTAAAATACTAATATTTTATTAGTATAGTTAGTAATTGTCATTTTATTAACCAAGGTTTATCAATTATCATTAAATATTATTGCTTTTCTAAATAAAATCTTCAGGAAATATAATAAGGGATCAAATTAATTTCTTTCAATTTTAAAAAATGTATTAAGATTTATTATAGCATAAATTACATTAAAATAAAAATAATTAAAAGGAGGAGTGCAGGATGGTAGGAGGGAAAAAGGATGGAAGAAAAATGTGTTGACTTCCAACTCTTTCCAACACAGTAAAATACTAATATAATTATGACCTCAACTTTTTACATTACTAATACTTACTGCAAGTCAGTTATATAATTGATTCTATGATTCTCTCATAGAATTGAAAACACCCTGGAGGTCTTCTAGTCCAACTCCATCCCCACTTGCCCTGGTGGTGATCTTATTCCATCCCAGATGAATTATCCAATTACTTTTTGAAAAGCTCCAGCAATGGAGCACTCACAACTCTGTAAAACAAGCTTTTCCACTGAATAGTATTCTCATTGTCAGAAAATTTCTCCTTAATTCCAGGTTGGATCTTTCTCTGATGAGCTTCTATTCATTGTTTCTTATATTATCCTCAGGTTCTCTGGATAATAGATCAATCCCCTCTTCTCTGATAGCCTCTCTGTGGCTCTCTGTGATAGCCCTTCAAGTATGGAAACTACAGCCATTATGTCACCCCTCATCCTTCTCTTTGTTAGACTAATCATTACTAGCTCCCTATATCATAAGATTAAATGTCCAGTCCCTTTGTCATATTTGTTGCTCTTCTCTACACTCTTTGTAGAGCCTCAGCATCTTTGTACATTGTGATGACTAGTACTGGATATAATATTCAATGTATGGGCTTATTAATGCAGTATAAAACTGTACAATCACTTCTTGTGAACTGGATGCTAAATGCCTGAGTTTATGGAGCTCAGAACTGCAGTGGCTGCTTTGGCTGCTACAACACATTGCTGACTCAAAGTTAGCCAGAGGTCTATTAGGACACCTAGATCCTTCAACAGAACACCTAAATCCCGCAATGGGTTCTACTGTTGAGCCAGGTACTAACTATTATGTACCTGTGCATTTGGTTTTTCCTGCCTAAATGCAGGACTTTACTTTTCTCACCATTGAATCTTGTTAGATAGGGCCCAATGCTTAGAGCTGTCAAGGACCTTCTGAATCTTATCTAAAATGTTACCTATTCCCGCAGCAAATTTAATCAGGACATAGAACACAGAATAATAGAGTTGGAAGGGACCTCAGAGGTTTTGTAGTCTAAGTGCCTGCTCAAGTAGGACACCTATATCATTTAAGACAAAGGATTATCCAGTCTCTGTTTGAAAGTCTCCAGCTGGAACATGACCACTGAAGTAAAAACAAGGAAGCTTGAACAGCATTCTTCAAAATGAAAAAGGTCTTCTGCAGTCACAATATAAGTCTAAGATTGAAAATCAGGCTTGTCAGATGTTACATCTTTTCTATCCTGCCCTATGGAGTAGAGAGTTCATCTCTGACAGAAAGCCACTTAAAGAGACTAGAAGCATTTGAAATGTGGATTTACAGGCAGCCATTATGTATAAGCTAGGTTGACAAAATCAGAAATGAGGAAGTAATAAACAACCTGGGAAAGTCAAGGGAAATAATCAAAACCATTAAAAAGTTAGAATATTTTGGACATGTGATGTGACACCCAGAAAATTACGGCATACTTCACTTAATTCTCCAGGGAAAGATTGAAGGCAAACAAGGTCCAGACAGAAAAAGAACATCATGGCTTCAAAATCTAAGAGACTGGTTTGGAGAAAACTCAGCAGCCCATTTTCATGTGGTTGTTGATAAAAATAGGATCGCCAACATGATCACCAATGTCCAATGATGGATATGTCACAAGAAGTAGTGGTAATGATGGAGCACCCCCAATTTATTTCTATTTTAGAAATATCTATTTATTTCTATTTCTATTTTATCTATTTCATTGGTTTATTGCTCTCACTATTAGAAACTTTCTCCTTAATTATAGATGGCTTGTCTCCTTGGTTAGTTTCCAAAACATTGTTTCTTGTCTTCCTTTTTGGTGCTTTGAAAATAGTTTGACCTCTCATCTTTGTAGGAGCCCCTCAAATATTGGAACAGTGCTATGATGCCACTCATAGTCCTTTTTATTAAACTAGACATATCCAATTCCTGTAACCATTCTTCGTATGCCTTTAGCCCCCAAATCATTTTTTTGCTCTTCTCTGCACTCTTTCCAGAGCCTTAACATCTTTTTTTATTGTGGTAACCAGAACTGAATGCAGTATTCCAAATGTGGTCTTATTAAGGCTTAGTAAAGGGCTACTAGAAATTCGTGTGATTTTGATTCTATCCCTCTAATAATGCAGCCTAAGATTATATTAGTGTTTTGGCTCATACTTATGTGATTGCCTATTAGGACTCCAAGACCTCTCTTGCAGTTACTGAATTAAACCAATTTTAATCTAGTCTATACTTATACAGTTGGTTTTTCTTGCCTAAGTGTAAAACCTTACTTTTATCTATGCTGAATTTTATTTTGTTACATAGGGTGTACTGTTTAATTATGTCAAGATCTTTTTGGATCTTGAGCTTATCTTCTGGGCTGTGGGCTATTTCTGCTAGCTTAGTATCATCTACAAATGTGATGAGTTCCACTTCAATTCCTTTATCTAGATTATTTATAAAGATATTGAAGAGTACTGGGCCTAAAACGGAACTTTGGTGTATCCCACTGCTTACTTCCATCCATGTGGATGTAGTTCCGTTGAAGACTTCAAGTTGAGTACCGTTTGTCAGCTAGTTACAAAACAACCTGATAGTAGTGGTCTCTATCCCACATTTTACTAGCTTGCCAAGATGTAGGTTGAGGTCTACTTTATCAAATGCTTTACTGAAATTTATGTATTCTATGTCCACAGCATTTTGCTGATCTACTAATTTGGTTATTTTGTCGAAGAATGAAATAAGATTTGTTTGGAATGATCTGTTTTTGACAAACCCATGCTGGCTACTGGTTGTAACCTTGTTTGCTTCTAGGTGTTACATATGTGTGATTACAGATATCTTTATCATGGTATTTTTAAAGTTATGGCAATATTATTTGTTTCAGATATTAAAAACCTTACCTCCCATGTACAGTAATTTTCTTTTCTTCTCCATTTGGAAAAATTACGAGAATGTCCAATGTGGTTTTAATCAGATTTCCCTTCATAGTTAAGACATTCTGATCTGACCACGTTTCTAGGGTTGGGATTACTTTATGTTCATTAACGTCACGAGCAGTGGGAGGTGGTTGGGGAGCGCGACCCTTAATTTTTTGCCTGAAAAAAGAAAAAAAAAGATAATGTGACCAGATTTGCCTTATTTATGTTCCTAAGACATTGCTCCCTTTACTCAAGTGAAAAGGTCATCTATTCTGGCATGGCTACTTGGAAATAAACTTGGTGGCCAGAATTATTACTAATGAGTCTTTTTTATGTCTCAGGATCCTCACACCCCAGCTTCCAAAGATTATAGCACGGGTTTGTAATATGATACCTATAAAAAGAATAGATATTAGATTGTCGGCATGTGTGTGCATACATATAAAATGTTTATATAATTTTTTCAGCAATTTTAATAGTATTAACTGGCAAAGAAAACTTTTGAGAACTCTGTTATGAAGTTCCTGTATGCTGTTTATGAAAATGACAGTTTGCAGTTGGGAAGAGAGGCTCTTACAGGTGATTGTTAAATCTGTTAAACCAATTGTTCAGCAACCATAATTCAAATTTACAAAGGTGCTAAAGGAGTGGTAGTTATGACTAGTTATAATAACATAGTATCCTACAGTGATGTGATTACATTTCTCAATCATCTTTGCTAGATTCATAGAAGCAAAGTCAATGGGGATACCGGTAGGAAATTACTAATGGTGATTATATGATGTCCTGCTTAGTGACCCATAGTAATTCCCTTAACAATGGCAACTGGAAATTCCAACATTTCAATTACTAAGCAGAATGGTCATGTAATATACTTTATAACTGTGTCACTTAGCAACAGTAATTCCAATCCAATTACCTTTGTTAAGTGAGGACCACTTGTATTCAATTTTGGTAAAACAAAAGGAGAAAGCCCACAATATAATAACGCAAACAATATTTTTTTAATCCTGCAGAGAATGAGGGAATCCTGACTATTTGCACTAACTATGAAAATACAAGCCAGCCAATAAAATTTAACATGTAGGATAAGATGTCATTCTAGTTACTCTAGATCTACTTTCAAACTGACTGGCTTTATTCATTGCTTAAGGCTATTATCAGCTTATATAAAAATCCAAATTTCTTAGACATGGGCTCCTTTATAAAAGTTGCCAAAATACTTGCAATACTCTTCAAAACTGAGAGTAATTTCATACTCTCAATTTACAACCTGCATCCGGAAGGCTTTTTTTTTTCATGTTCTTCTTATGATCTTACAACTATTCATCACATGTCACTGTCAACCTGCTGGTGAGGGTTTCATCCAAATAAAGTAGATTAATTTGATTCTGAAATTATATTTACAATAGTACATAAATTAACCAATAACCAATAACCAATAACCAATCTCAGCTTTTGCCACTTACAAAGTTCCCATACAAGTCTTTATATCTTTAAACTCGTCAAACTCATTTTTGTCCACAGAGGATAAATTCCACCATGATTCCTTCTTTTCCACAGTCATTTTCATCCTATAATGATTTTCCTGCTAGACCTCGCAGCAGACCATAATCTTCTGGAATTGATTTCCATTCAAGAAGTATTAGTGGACAGTGCAATAAACCAAGCAAGCTTCAGACTAAACTAGAACTTTAGAGCTATTATGCATTTGATATCCAAGAAGCAGTCACTGGTGTAACAGCAAACACAACATCATGTTCACTGGATCCTTAGTTGTATCTGCTCCTGCTTCTACAGATCTTTACTAGCCTCTTCCGCAAACCATAGCTTGCGCACCCCTTCTCTTAGTGGCGGCCGCAAAGAGTGGCCGCAAACACACTCTTGCAAGCCCTAGCCCTGTCGACCTGGGGAGAGGGATACTGGCACTGGAGCTCCAAGCAGTGGCCAATGTGAGCTGTCTGCGCAGTCATGAAGTGGGATCGGCATGGCCGGTTCTTGCCCACAGCATTGCCAGCGAGGATCTGGTCAGAGCTGCTGCTGCTGCCACCCGAGATCAGCAGGCCAGATTTGGTGAGCCAGATGCACTGCTGCCATTCAGGAGAAGAGAGAGAGGAGGCGCTATGAGAGAGCCCATTTCTGACGTTCTTCTTCTCCTGGGTGGCAGCAGCATGTTCAGCTCCCTGAATCAGGCTTGCCAATCTTGGCCCGTGAAGGGGAGTCACAGGTGGGGAGGGGTGGGGAGGCGGAGAAGTGAGAATTCTGCCACTCGCCCAAACCTCAGATCTCCTGTTTGCCATGCAGGCTCTTCAAGAGGAAAGTGATCAAGCCAGTCTGTGGCTTTTGCAATCTAAGCCAGCACTACTTCTCCTGCTCCCCTTTCCTCCCCCTACACCAGAGGTGTCAAACTCAAGGCCCAGGTTAGATCCGTCCCACAGGGCCACCCTGGAAACAGTGAAGGACTGGTACACAGTGCCAGTGGCTCCATTTTGGCTGACAGAGGATTGCAGGAGGCCATTGCAGCCGAAAATGGAGCTTGTAATGGCTGCGTGTGGCCATCCCAAGCTCCATTTTGGCTGGCAGAGGATTGCAGGCAGCCGTCCCAATTGAAAATGGAGCTCTGGAGCCCATTTTTGCTAGCAGAATGCTCAGACCACCAAAGCGCCCCCAACATGAGTGATGTTGAGCTGGCCATGCCCACCCTGGCCATGCCCACTCCAGGCCCCCTGAAGTTAAGCACAACCCTGATGTGGCCCTCAATGAAATCGAGTTTGACACTCCAGCCTTACACTAATAATAGGGTTTAGCATTATTGCAAAAAAAGGCCATATACTTTACAATTTACCTAACAAAAATTAGGAATTATTTAAAATAATAATTTATATTTGGAAAAATGTAACAGGAGATAATTCCAGATGGAAAAAAAATAAAGTGATCTTAATTAGAATTACAACCTTAGGGTAGCACTCTAATTAGAAAGTTTAAAAATACTTTGCATGAAAGTGGGTTTCTGCCAAGATGAAGTGAAGATTGAAGGAAGGAGAGAATCTACTCCGGCTGCTTATGACTAGTAAGAGAGAGAAAGAGAAAATCCTAATCCTTCGTGATTCACTACAGAAGGAAAAGAAAACTAGAGAAGCACAAGGTATAAAGGCTGAGACTGGTGAATCAGAGACCAAGCTAGAGATAGCCATTATGTAATAATAGGGAGAAAAGGTCTGTTTGATTTGTTTGCCATCTTGAGTTACTTGTAAAAATAATAAAGGCAGGAAATATATACATATGTACATACGTATGAGGTCAGGGGTGAGTTCTACTTACCTATACTACTGGTTCGCACAGGGGCCGCGTGTGCGCTCTTCTGCACAAGCGCAGAAGCATTTTGATGACATCGGGGTCAGTGGGCGGAGCCTCCCACCGGTTTTACTACCAGTTCTATAGAACCGGTATGAACTGGGGGCAACCCACCACTGACATACGTATGTACATATCCAAGCTGTCCACCTGCAAAGCCACCAATACTATATCAAGGAGAATAGAAATCTTGAACCAAATGTTTGGTTTTTATGAGTTCATTTCAGTATGTTTTTCAGATGGGTAATTGTGAAGCCATTAACTAGAAATGGTATGTGTCGAGTCCCAAAGATACTTTTTTCAAGAGGCAACTGGACTTTCTGGTTTTTCTTTGAAGATGTTTTGCTTCTCATCCAAGAAGCTTCTTCAGCTCTGACTGGATGGTGGGTTCTTCAGGCTTGTCATCCAAGAAGAATTTCCTTTGTCATTCGAAGAAAAACCAGAAAGTCCTTGAAAAAAGCACCTTTGGGACAACCGTGGCCTGGATAACTGAGAATCTCCATAAACATATATGCCAGAGTGTCTAGTGATTTCTGAGATGTTCCTTGTCAAATAATATTCTTTAATAATTCTCTTATAATTATTTAGCTTGCTTTATTTTTAAATATATATTTTAAACATTTCAAGGAAAATATGTAAACAGGCAAACAAAAAGAATAAAGGGAAAATTTTAAAAAAATTCTAGGCCATCAAGCTACATATAGCATACATGAATTGAGGCTTGTTAGCAGAAATGATAGTAAAGTGATTATAACAAAGGTGCTACAGAATCTGCTTGAACAACTTATTTGTAATTGCTAAAGCTGCTCTTCTTTCCAGATCCAGAGTCACAGGAACAGAGAAGCTGCTTGACATAATAATCTTACCACAGATCAAAGAAATATGATCTTGTTCTTTAGAGATGTCTCAGAGGAACTCTTAAGTCCAAGAAATGACAGCCAACACCTAAACGGCTCAACTGTGACAAAGAAAGATTACACCAACAGTGCTAGAAAAATATATTAGCAGCCTTTGTACTAAGGACAGGTACATATAAATGTCTTTCCATCATTAAGGCTTGCCGGAAATCATGGAATAATATAGTGGGCGAAGAGAGTATAATCATTTATTTATCTATTTGGATATTTAAAGCTCACCAACTACATTAACAATTTTAGAAGAAGTTATAAAGAAATAAGATTAATGTTTTAAAAATCAATATATTAAGATTTAAAACAGCAATGCTATAATGCTATAATAGATAGGCAGAGATATTTTAAGAAAAAGTTATTGCAAATGCATAAGTAAAAAAAAAAACCCTCAGTCTTCTACTTGCACTGAAAAGTAGTCAGTATTCTGTTACATAAACTTTTCACTGATTATGATGAATTTCTGACATTTCCTGCAGGGGTGAAATCTAAAACTTTTTCCCTATTGGTTCTGTGGGCGTGGCTTAATTGGTGGGCGTGGCTTGGTTGTCAGGTGACCGGGTGGGCATGGCCAATAACAATAAATAATAAAAATAATAAACAAAGTACACAAAACAATAAGAGGTACCAAAAACCAACTTTCACACTTTACACACACACAACACAACACAAGTGACTCATAATGTAAAAGCAACTGCACTTGACCCAAAATGGCTCCTGCAACAAGCAGGAACCTCACACAGTCACAAAAAGCTCAAAAATCAACTTTCACACTTTTTCCACACAAAATGCCACATACAGCTTTGTGAGATTTTATATGTTAGAGTGAAACACAGCAGAAACACACCAAATCTCAGAAAGCTGCACAAATATTTTATTTTATTATTTTATTTATATTTTTAGATAAAAGCAGCT